ATCATATGTTTTCAAAAGCTGCATTTCTGTCAGATATCGTCCATTTCCCACTGCTTACGGCTCTACAAAGTCTGTTCATCGTGCCATGTCATCTGCTTGCCATACAGAATATGATAATGCAGAATCTGAGGCCGCCCTTTCTGACGTCGAACAGAATGCGAATGGGAAAAGGTAGAGATGCACTCCAGCTTGTTTAGATATAGAAGTGTGTGATTTAATGGAGTGTTTCTAGACCTCAGGAGAAGAAGCGAAGGAGGCGGTGGCGATCGCGAAAGGCTGAAGACGCCGACACAGAATCTCAATGCAGCAGTGCTGCTAGCAGCGTGGACCTCGACCCATTGCGGTAGGTCACTCTCTTAGTTGGCCCAGATCATCTTCAGCGAAGAATTAGCAAAATACATGACGGTCACATCACTGTTAATTTCTTGCTCGAACGCTAGTCAAAAAAAATCCAACCTACAAGTGGGCAGCTCTACCTCTATCGAGAGAAATGACTCCAAAATTCGATATGAGTAGCATTTCGTAAAAGGGTTTTTAGCTTCTTCCAGAACTTCTTTAAAAAGGGCTATTTGTTCTTCCTGTAAAGAAAGTAAAGAAGCGCACATGACCATCATATCGATGTCTTGAAACTACGAGTGTAATTTAAGCAACGTACGTAAGCTGACTCGCAGAAAATTAAATAGATGATTCCTCTCATTCTTCCTTGTGTACTGCCCACAAATTGCTGGTTCACGCTATTCATCTGTTATAAGAGTCTTCGCATATATTCTGTAAACATTTTCTTTTTCATCAGACAAGAAATTTACGAAGTTGTTCGATTCTGTCGTATGCCTGATTACAGCTGGAAGTCTGTGCACTCGATTGGTTACGAGAACGAATATGAAATGCAGTCGGACAACGAAGGCTTGGCGATAGAAGAGATGAAGGCGCTTTCCCGGGATATCCGGAAAAACTTCGGCGATTTCAAGCTGGCCACCTTCGACGACATAGACCAGGATTAGCGAAGTATCAGTAGCTTATCGATCCTATGCACCTGCATGTTATTGAAATCCATCAACGCTCACGATTTCAACGTATAAACGGGTAATTATCGAAGTACGCACGAGTACGAAGTTTTGTGTGGCTGCTGAGATGTGACGAGAGATTGAAATCTCTATACTCTCGCTCTACCTAAAACAGAGGCTCATGCACTTCTAAATTTTCTTCAATAGTATTGCTGTGTTCCTGTATTCAACCCGATTTGCTCACTATTTGTACGGTGCTTTGATGTGTGGATATCTCGACATTT